GAGTGAGAGAGAGAGTGAGTGAGAGAGAGAGTGAGTGAGAGAGAGAGAGACAGAGAGTGTGAGAGAGAGAGAGAGAGAGTGAGTGAGTGAGAGTGAGAGTGAGAGAGAGTGAGAGAGTGTGAGAGAGAGAGTGAGAGAGAGAGAGAGAGAGTGTGAGAGAGTGAGTGAGAGAAAGAGAGAGTGAGTGAGTGAGTGAGTGAGTGAGAGAGAGAGAGTGAGAGAGAGAGAGAGAGAGAGAGAGAGAGAGAGAGTGAGAGAGAGTGAGTGAGTGAGAGAGAGAGAGAGAGAGAGAGAGAGAGAGAGAGAGAGAGAGAGAGTGAGTGAGAGAGAGAGAGAGAGATGGGGGTTAACTGAACTAAAATCAATTTGAAACCCAATCTGTATTTTCAGTTGAATTAACTTGAACAGGGTAGGAGTCAAATCAGTTTATGGAACAGTTTATAGAAGAATGGAGGGATGGGGAAGGAACGAATGAAAGGAAAAGGAGTATAACAGCTATAAAAGCGAAAAGGGGCCAATGATTCTGTTTTAAAAAATAAAGGAGAAACGTAAAGTTGGTGTAATTCCCATATTTGCCAGTTATTTGATTCACTATAAAATTTCTGTAAAATAGACCTCACTTAAATTCTGATCTGAGCCTTTTTAATCAAACTCTACAGGTTCTCAATCCCCCGTCTCATATTCGTACGAGGATTAAGTCGACAGGTTGGCATTTAGCTGTGTTAGTGTTAGCCATTAGCATGTTTTAGCCAGTAAAAATGTCCTTAAGACGACTAGCACACAACGTTTGATGGCCAAACTACTTAACTGGCTAAGTTACCTAAGCCTTAACTCACTTTGAGCATTAGCTTATATTAGCTAAGTTAACAGAGACTTGCAGCAGCATGTTATCCTACATTAGCTACATTAGCAAGTTATAGCAGAGCAATTATAGCAAATAAAGAGCTGCTGTACTTATTCTACAATAACAAAACAGAACATGCTACACAGTATAAGACGCAGTAGCTCTTTAGCTAAGATTAGCATGGTCAGTTCAGGCAACCAGCTAATAGCTGTTGAAACATGCAATAGCCAAGTTGAATACTTTGCTAGAAAAAGACTGAAGCAAAAGGAAAATGGCTGATTTACTAATGAGAAAAATATTGTTATTTTAACAGCCATATACAAACAGACGCTTGTTACACTAAGCAGGTTTTGTCTAAATGAAGATTCGACAGTTTTCTTTTCCCAGCTTTTGCTAACAGCTTGGAACTATTGAAACTCTTTTGATCCAAAGCTGGTTTAAGCACCTAAAAGGTTTGAGTGCACAAGAAGGGTTTGGCTTCATTCTTAAGACCTTTTGTCAGAAGTTCATTTAATTTGGCAGAAAAACTGCAATAGCTAAACAATTTACGATTTAATAAGTTATTAATATCTGCACTAAAACTTAGTCAATATGTTGTTCGTTATGTTGTGTCATACGCTTTAGCCTCATCAGTTTGACAGAATCCACGGTTTTGTTTCCTTTCTGCATGTTCGTCCATCAATTCTCACTACAATACCCAGCATGCATTGCACCGACGGACCATAGTGCCACTGGGAATGCCTGTGGTGTCAATCATTAATGACGTAGCACAGCTGCTGATCTCGGTTCCTGTTGGTAAAAGCTTACAGCGAAACTCTTTTGGTCCAAAGGTGGTTGAACACCGGCTAACATCACAACAAGGGGATGAAACGGGTGTGGCCTCTAAACCAGCGGGCCCAGTCTTATCCCCAAAGAGCCGGTGTGGGGGCAGGATCTCAGTCTACACAAGCTGAAGCACACCTGATTCTACTCGATAAATCAATCGGTCTCAGAGATCAATCAAATTGATCATGTATGCTCTTGTTTTGTTGGAACAAAACCTTCCAGCCACACAGAGGATAAGATTGGACAGCGCTAATAAAGCTGTTTAGGCTACACAAAGTAAACATGGTTGTTTAAAAGGCTGTCTCTAAACGTTTAGATGGCAGACGTATGTATAACGAACAGGTGTGATGATGACTTTACTTAATTTGGATGAGTACCTTATTCTCAGGGATGGGGAAGTATCTAAGTAGCGCGCTACTTTTTGTAGTTAACTACAATTTTTTGTAGCTAATAGCTGTAGCCGCTACAGTTTTATGACATGTAGCTAAAAGCTGTAGTGCTTACAAATTTTTTTGTATCTATAGCGAAAATTTTCACTACAATTTCGCTACAGGCTTCAGACAATACGTACAAATTTCGAGCCACAGAATGCAACCGTTAACTGAGCTGGTGGCGACTGTGCAATCCTGACTGAGCCGTGGACAGTTCGAGCAAACGGCCACGCGCTGATGACCCCTTACTAGCAGGCTTAAGTCAGGGGTTGCAACCGAAATGTTAAGAAGAGCCATTTTGTCCTTTCAACTAAAATGAAACCACTTTGGGAGCCACAATATTTCATGTCCGTTTTACCATCTTGGCTGTAAATATGACTCAGTATGTGCTGATGTTCTACATACATACATACATACATCATCTAAACCGCTTATCCTTCTGGGTCGCGGTGGGGTGCTGGAGCCTATCCCAGCTGTCATCGGGTAGAAGGCTGGATACACTCTGGACAGGTCGCCAGTCCATCGCAGGGCAGACAGACAGACATACACAGTCACACACACTCACACCTAGGGGCAATTCAGCACGTCCAATCAGCCTGACTGCATGTTTTTGGACTGTGGGAGGAAACCGGAGTACCCGGAGGAAACCCACGCAGACACGGGGAGAACAGGCAAACTCCACACAGAAATGACCCTGGTCGCCCAGCCGGGAATCGAATCCAGGCCATTCTTGCTGTGAGGCGACAGCGCTACCCACTGCTTTGCTCTACTTTAACCTTTAGCTCAGCAGTCGGCGCATCAGTCTCCAGCGTTAAAGGTTGGTGAATTAGCAGTTGTGTGTTAACTCCAGCGTTTAATGATTTAATGCAGTAAAGGAGGTTTTTATGTTATTTTACCCAAAAATCTAGTTCTGCTGTGGAGCTGCAGCAGCTCTGCAGCAGTGGAGAGATTATTCAGGCCTAATTCTCACCCCAAACAGAACCAGGGTCACTGATGAGGATTTCAAACTTGCTGAAATGTTTAAATTGGAGCAGTTTTATTTCAACAGTTGACAATGCTTTGTACAAAATTGTTTGGTTTGTATTTGGTTTTTTTTTGTTTTCTTAGGAAAAACCTGGAATGATTGACCAAATTTTTGGTGGACATCACGCCTTTGGTTGTGTAAGTTTGATTGCTGGTTACACTTCAACTCACTTTTTGGTGGTTTTTTTGTATATTTGCAGTTTTTCAGTTGCATGTTTCTCTCTGGCACAAGACTAAAGGCAGTGTCTTGTTCACACTGTCAGTTGGGCTTGTTTGTTGTGCCAGGTGGAGATTTTTACAAACATTCTGACAATCGCGCTTTGAAAGTAGCTAAAAAGTAGTGCACTACTTTTCAAACTAGTAGGCTACTTTTTCAAACAGTAGCTAAAAAGTAGCCACTACTTTTTCTGGAAAGTAGCTACAGCAAGTAGCTAAGTACTAATTTTTCAGTAGCTATGCCAACCTCGATTATTCCCGCATGAATAAAATATTACAACAACACAATTTTTGACACAAAAATTGATTCAACCGTCTAAGCGTTGGCCTTATCATCAGGAGATTGGGAGTTTGATCCCCGGGGACGGTCCTCGCTCTTCCTGGGTGGGTAGGATGCCCTCCTCCTGTCATAAACCCATCACCCAGTATGATGTTAGCCAGCGAGAGCTTCTGTTATCTGAGATAACAGAACTGGCAGTTGGCGCTTTCCTCTGAGCATGTTCAGCTGTCCAATGGTGTTGCATTGGTGGCAGTTCAAAAAGATGCTGCAGTGGTGCTGCCTGTGCCAGCCTTCGCCCTCCTAGCACTGATAGAATTGTGTCCTAACTAGTGAGTGAAATTGGACATGTGTAAATTGTTAAAATATGGGAATAAATGTGTTATAGAGAATAGCGTCAGCCCAGCCGTGACTATTAGTGCTTTCAGTTCAGGCCATAAAATGTCCAAAAATAAGGAAAAAGAAACACCTTGACGATAATATCAGTTGAATTCTGGGACTAGTATGTCAGATCTAAGCTAACAGTGGTGCACATAAACATTTTTTGGCCAATCTAGATTAAACACAGATATTTGAAGCTGGTAAAAGACATTCTATGTTTTATTGTTCAGCTTGTAATTGAAATTAACATATATTTGAGCTTGTATGCATCATTTTTACAGTGACTCTTTTAGTAAAGAGCCCTGCTGCCACTGTTTTCCATTCCTAACAACTAACTGAAACATAGACTACACACACATTCATAGTCATGATGAATCTGGAACTTCCAGAAGGACTCATTTTTCTGGTCCTTGTTTTAAACTAAATCAAAGTGTGATTGATTCCTCTGTTCCTAATGATATTGATAGTTTATCTTAAAGGCCTTCAGTCCAGCTGCTGAAGTCCTAACCAACGGCAGAGCTCGTTTGGCTGTATCTGCTTAGATACAGCAGAGAAAAACATCCTGATTGTTTTCCATTGAGCGCTTCAAGAATTGAACCCTTTTCCTTCCAACCAGAACTTTTTCAATACAGATCATTAGGCCTTCTCTGAAGGTCTAGAAGGCCCTGAGGGTTCTCCACTGGAGAACACATTATATGTCCAAAAGTAGACACCTGCTCAGCATTTCCTCTGAAATTGTCGGTATTAATAGGTTTGTTTCTCCCCTTTCTGCTGCAGTAACAGCCTCTACTCCTCTGGGAAGGCTCCACTAGATGCTTTGAGGATTGAGTTATTGATTGTATTCAGCCACAAGAGCACTCGTGAAGTCAGGTTCTGATTTTGGATAATTAGCTCTGGGTGACTCCGAATCATCCCAAAGGTATTGGATGGAGCTCCATTGCTAACAGCGTTTACACACTCGAACGGAAGGCCAGTAAACACTAGTGTGAGTGAGTGTCCTTACCGATAAGCGGGTACATTTCCTCCTCCCCGTCATGCCCCACGCACAGCTGGTAGTTTGAGACTGAGCCCTGCACACAGGAAGTGGTCATTATGTTTGGAAGAGAAGGACAGGAAACAGGAAGCAGGAGATATGAAACGCAGGAAATGCCAAAATGAGGACGCAGTAAACACTCGGGCTGCCCACCTGCTCCGCTCCCAGCTCCCAGTAAACAACACCCAGCCTCAAAAACCACACTTGGTTCTCACTTCACGCTACAGAAGACACTCTTCATCAGTACTTTGTATAACAGAAATAAGACACACCGACTCTAATGCAGATCGAGAAGTCGAGGAAGTGTCTTTCACTGCATACGACTTCGGTGTGTGTATGTAGAGACCTCAGTTACAAAAGAGCAGGGCCAGTTTGTGAATACTAATACAAACAGAAAGATGTAAATAGTAAATACAGTCTGACCAGTACAAAAACACAATATTTGATGTTTTATCTTATTAACTTTTTTTTTTCCAAATTTGATGCCATGTTCCCGAAAAAGGTTTAACGGGATCATGTTTACCACTCGGTCACATCAGCACTAACACTAAACACTGTCAGTTGGTCTGTGTGGAGCTGGAGAACGAACTGCCGGCTGTGCAGCGAGTGGGCGGAGCTCGTTACTCTGACGTAGCAACGAGCTGCTTGTTAAGGAACTATAATTTGGTGAAGGAACTGCAAACATTAAAACATATTAAACGCCGCGTTCACGGCCCAGTTTATTAATTTATTACTTTATTTATTTAACTGTTGTATAAAAGCAGTAGAACACTCGAGGAGTGTGTTATCGCCAATGACATCACGGCTGTGATGATCTACGGCGACCAAATCACAGCCGTGATGTTGTTTAGCGATAACACACTCCCTCTCGGGTTCTATTGCTTAAATAACAATAAAATGTAATTGAATTGATTTGGATTTTGAACTTTATGCTGGTAACAGTCTGGATGGATCTGATTTTCTTCTTTAGCCTGGAGAACACATTATCAGATTTCCATAAACAATCTGAAAGTTTGACTTATCAGACAACAATGCACATTTCCAGTCTTGTATTTGTGGATGCAGTGACAAACACTGTTTATTGGCTGTCTTTTTTTTGTTTTTGGCCTACCCTGCAGTCGACATTCTTAGCAAACGCCTCCTAGTTATGGTTATTGCTTAAACTGGGATTTTGATTGGCCAGTGTAAACAATATAATTGTGAATATTTTTGCCGTCCAAAGAAAAACATGTCTCCATTGTTGTTGTTATTTTAACTTTTCTGCATCATTTGAACAGGGCAGCTGTCTGTTATATTGCGTAAATACACCGATCAGGCATAACATTCTGACCACCTCCTTGTTTCTATGCTCATTGTCCATTTTATCAGCTCCACTTACTTTATAGGTGCACTTTGTAGTTCTACAGTTACAGACTGTAGTCCATCTGTTTCTCTGCATACTTTGTTAGCCCCCTTTTACCCTATTCTTCAGTGGTCAGGACCCCCATGGACCCTCACAGAGCAGGTACTATTTGGGTGGTGGATCATTCTCAGCACTGCAGTAACACTGACGTGGTGGTGGTGTGTTAGTGTGTGTTGTGCTGGTCTGAGTGGATCAGACACAGCAGTGCTGCTGGAGTTTTTAAACACTGTGTCCACTCACTGTCCACATCCTCTAGTCCTTCATCAGTGGTCACAGGTCGCTGCCCACAGGAGGCTGTTGGCTGGATATTTTTGTTTGGTGGACTATTCTCAGTCCAGCAGTGACACTGAGGTGTTTAAAAAGGGTCCATGGGGGTCCTGACCACTGAAGAACAGGGTAAAAGGGGGCTAACAAAGTATGCAGAGAAACAGAACTACAAAGTGCACCTATATAGTAAGTGGAGCTGATAAAATGGACAATGAGTGTAGAAATAAGGAGGTGGTCAGAATGTTAATGCCTAATCAGTGTATTGTCATTATAGAGTTTAGATCAGTTCTTAATATGGACATGAAACCAACTCAGCAAGGCAAATTTATTTACATAGCACATTTCATATCCAGAGGCAATTTAAAGTGCTTTACGTAAATGAAAGCCTAACCTAACAATAGCTCAGCCAATTTGCATTGCAGTCCCTGTAGATACAAACAATAAGCTTTAGTATGTAATAAGCCTGGGATTTTAAGGGAATAACCTTCACAAGAGTTAATTAAACCAAGCTACCAACAATGCTGTATAACTAACTGAAAGCGGGTATGATTTCAGTGTCAAAGTCTGATGTTGTGCCACTACTAACGTTCACTTGAAAACTAGCTCCATTGATGCTGCTACCGAATGACTGCCTGACTTCAGAGGTCTATTGGGTAATTCATTATAGATCTAGACCCCAATGAATCCTGAATTTATAAGGCATTATAAATGCATTCATAACATGTTATATGGCACACATAATCCCTGGTACAAGCTTATATAATTGCTTAAGTGTGAACCCTGTGTGTTTACTCTTAATAATCTGATAACTGCAGAAAATCAGATTGTGACAGTAACTGGTTCAGTGTGTTTACTCTTAATAATCTGATAACTGCAGAAAATCAGATTGTGTCAATAACTGGTTGAGTGTGTTTACATTTAATAAGCTAATAATCTGATAACTGCAGAAAATCAGATTGTGACAGTAACTGGTTGAGTGTGTTTACACTTAATAATCTGATAACTGCAGAAAATCAGATTGTGTCAGTAACTGGTTCAGTGTATTTACACTTAATAATCTGATAACTGCAGAAAATCAGATTGTGTCAGTAACTGGTTCAGTGTATTTACACTTAATAATCTGATAACTGCAGAAAATCAGATTGTGTCAGTAACTGGTTCAGTGTATTTACACTTAATAATCTGATAACTGCAGAAAATCAGATTGTGTCAATAACTGGTTGAGTGTCTTTACATTTAATAAGATAATAATCTGATAACTGCAGAAAATCAGATTGTGTCAGTAACTGGTTCAGTGTATTTACACTTAATAATCTGATAACTGCAGAAAATCAGATTGTGACAGTAACTGGTTGAGTGTGTTTACACTTAATAATCTGACAACTGCAGAAAATCAGCTTGAGTTATCAGATAATGGGCAAACTCTGGGTCTACATGATTCAGACAGTAATCAGATTTCTGCTTTACAATAAACCAATAAACTCACAGAGGAAGACGTGATGTAAACATAACATAAACTCAAACTTCATGCTGTGGCTTTTTTTTTTAATACAGAGTCACTTCACATGAAAATATGAACAAACATCATCTAGAAGATGAAGAATATTTAAATCCTTCATTTCGTCAAGCATGTATTCGGTTTCAGCATCACTCTGAAAGTGTTTGTTGCGTCTCATGGGTGCTGTGTTAAATACTGCTTGCTTATTTCCGGTACTGTGCTCTGTTCTCGCACATGCTCAGTCTAAGAAATCCGAAAGAAATCAGAGTAAGAGTTTATATGCACTGAGAAATCTGATTACTGAGCTAAAATCTAGCCTCTTTGTCAGTTTTCTTAATCAGATATCTAGACCTTAATCTGATCTAATAAATCAGTGTGCTGTTTATATGACCATTTGACTAATCAGATAATCACAGAAACCCAATTATGATCGGATTATTAAGTGCATGTATAGAGGAGCCTTAGTCCGAAACGTCACTCACCGGCACACTGCTGTGCTGTAGGACACTCTGGACAACACTGTCGGCTGTAGAGTTCATATCCACCGTCACTGGAGTCGTCTAACAAGACAATCACAGATGCAAATACAAGCAAATGTTAGAGGAAGGCCTATTTTTCCACTTTTCCCAGACGCAGGCAGGTTTGGTGTCCACATTTGCTCATTTAGTTCACTAATCTTCCTGACAAACACTAGAGCTCAATAGTCACCCAAATATTTTCTGTAAATACAGCCCCAAATCCTCTCTCAACCTGCTCAAATTGCTTCCAGGCCTTCATGGAGCATTTGTCGATTTTGGCGTCTACAAAAATAAACAAAACACCTGTTGTCTGAAATGTCTGCACACAGCATTCCGCTAATTAAATTCTACAGCTCACGATGAGACATATTGCGCTCTAAAGCACACTGAAAAGTCTGAGCCACCTTCATAAAAGCCTGGATGAGGTTTGAGAGAATTTTCGGGGGTGTTTTTACAGAAAGGATTTGGGTGACTATTGAACTTGTGTTTCTTAGCAAAGTTAGCCCCTTGGCTCTGGTGCTAAGCTAACTAAGCAATATTGGGACACCAAACGTGATCGACTGCACCTGAGGTAAGTTTAAAATTGTCAGATGTCCTGACATTTTCCTTTAGAAATCGCTGATATATTTCAGAGTTCATTGTTTCATCAACCATCCTGGCCCAGATACAGCAAAACAGGCCCAAACCATGATACTACCACCACCATGTTTCACAGACGGGATCAGGTATTTATGCTGGAATGCAGTGTTTTCCTTTCTCCAAACATAAAGGTTCCCATTAAAATGTAAAATTTATTTTGGTCTCATGCGTCCAAAAAACATTATTCCTATAGCCTTCTGGCTTGTCCATGTGATCTTTAGCAGTATGTACACTGTACACACGGCTAACTACACTCTTAAAACAGATGGCTCTATAAGGGTTCTTTGGTAAAGATGGTAAAGATGATGGTTCTATATAGAATCACAATCAGTGATTCTATGAAATGGTTGAATGGTGAATGGCGAAATCCTTCTTCAGATTGAGAGAGAAGGTGCTGTAGATGGTTCTAAATAGCACCAAAAAGCGGTCTTCTATTGTTCTAGGCTTGACATTGTTCCTTTATTATGACAATGTTTTATATAGAACCATCTACAGCACATTCTCTATCAATTTAAAGAACCATTTAATAATGTAAATGGTTCTTTGAGTGGTCATGGTGCAATGTAAAAACACTTTATTTTTAATAAAAAACCCTTGAAGAACCATCTTCTTTAAGAGTGTCATCTTAGACTACATTTTCCTTTCAATGGAGGAAGGACTAGGACACTAGTACTAGTACAAAGCTGTGTTTGTTAGTCATGTTCTGGCCAGTGTTTTAAGTTCTGCTCAAAATGATCTAAAACTGTCACTACCAAAGAGTTATGACCATTAAGGCAAAGATAAAATGAAATGTTCAATTATTTGCTTTAATAAAACAAACATAATAAAGGTACAGAGTCACTTAAAGATGAAGAATTTTAGTCCCGAGTCCAAGTTCAGTAAAAATTCCATGTGTTTTCAGCTCTGACTTTGAACCACTTTGGCAGAATCACTCATATGACACAATACTAATGAGAAAATAGAGATCTGTTTTGGTCACAGTCCTACAGTTCTAAGGGTCAACCCGTGACATGGCCAGCAAGCCCAGTGTTTTATTCTATAACCTAAGAATAGCTCAATCCGTTTGCATTGAAGTTCCTGTAGTTACTAAATTTGTATGTAATAAGCCTGCGATTTGTTGAGGGATTGATTTCAAGACAGTGTATTGCACAGATGTCATTCAAGGACACAAGACATATAAAGAACCTTAGAATGGAGGAATCAGTTTGAGTCCAAAGCTAACCAACAGATCTAGCCTGTTTTCCTCCAGAGCCTCAGGATGCTCAGGGTTGGGAAGCTCTGTAGAGCCTTACAGCAAATATGCCTCAGCACTGGGAGCTGGACAAATGAGGACTGTGTTTCCGGTATGACTCATCCCTCATCCCCGTTATTCTGAAGAATCAGATATTCAGAGACATGTCAAGGCAAAGCCTTCTTTGCCACCAATCAGACACCCTCTCCTCACTTCCAACGTGAAACTACTCACTCCAGCCCTCATCACAGTATTCATGAGGGCTTGGATTTGTTTTCAATGCAGCAGGAACAAAACATCTGCTCAAACAGGCAGAGCACAAAGATCTTATGTTCAGGAAAGTCATATATTAAAGTGTGCATATATATATATATATATATATATATATATATATATATATATATATATATGATGAATAGACCAAAAGAAATGGCACAAGACTACTTGAAAAAACAGTCTGGTTACAGTGTCTCTGTTTACATGCAAAGATTTTCTCCAATCTGATTGAATACATTCCGATTATAGATTAACACTGAGGTGTTTATATTCTCACTCTGTTCAACAATCTGATGAAAATCTCAGTTTACATGCTCACAACAAGGAATCGGATCCAAAATTACGCTCATGCGTAGAGAACCACTTAGTGTAGACGTTACCATGACAACCAGCATCATGTGAGTCCAGTCAGAGTGAGATGAGCAGCAGTGAGCACTGCTTGTGTTTCTAATTGCTTTAAAATGATGTCAGACTCAGGAAAACGTCCTTCACATGTCCTTATTAAAGAAGGCCGAGAGGAAGACGTCGTGCTCTGAGACACATAAGCTGGACGTCCGTCCCACCGCCGTCTTTTAAAGATCAGAGCATAAACTTCGTCTCCTCTGCAGACCAGTTTCTGCTCCGCCATGTTGAACGGTATAAACTCTCACTATGACTCGACGAACATGATCAGAACGGACTTAAACTTTCCGATAGGGAATGTAATCAGATACAGGCGTTTACACGGATATTATTCTTCTATTTAACTGATTATTTACAGGATTACCCACCTCTTTTAATTGGATAGAAACTGTATATATATACACACACACATCACTGTTGTCAGAAGAAAACCTCGTATCTCCAAAATGGTAACATTACAGGAGAAGGTAAAAACCTATTTTTCTTTTTAATGTAAGTCAATGGAACCAGACTTTTTGTCTGTCATTTTGGGTCATTTCTTTCGGTCCATTCTTCATAAAATTTACAATGTAAAGGGTAAACGACAAAAATTTCTTCCGATCACAGCGATTACACAAAATAAACATTACTATCACAAGTGTAAATTTAGGGGTTGTAGTTTGGGACACACACCTCCCAATAGAAAATACCCTGTAAGTGATGATTTCAGGTACATTAAGCTTATTACTATCTCTATTAATGCATTGAGTTTAAACAGATCAGAACACAATGCCTGTGAATATCTAACATCTGAACTGTTGGTCTGCAGTTTAAAATAATTACTAAATACACAGCACCAGTACAACGTTTGATAGAATGTCGGCTTTTTTTGTTATTGTTGGCACCAATCTGGAACTGCAGGATGGAAAATGTGGGGCTATCAAAAATACTTTTGACGTCCACTAATCTTATACCTAATATAAAATATGGGAAAACAACACCCCTTCAATGAGTAGATGCATCCAAAACAAGGTCTCAGAGTGAACTCACTGCTGTGTTGTCGAACAGATGAACATTCAGCAGGATCCTGTTGGGGACTAGGCTCTGTCTGGCTCTCCCACTGTGCCTGAAGTCAATCAGAATACATTACTAGACTCAAAACACATAGAAAAAAAGCACGAAGCACACAAATCAAAAACATTGACGAATGTGCAATTTGAGACCACAACGAGGACGCTGGCTGCCTCAAAGCGCTTCTCAACTGCATGATTGTGCGTTAGCTGAGATACAACTGGGAAACTATAAAAGAGTCACGTGTTTTAGTGCTTTTATTTCCATGGTTGTTTCTCTCACCACTTGAGCGCACGGAGCCATTTCTCCTTCGTCTCTGAAGAGCTGGAAAAAGAAGAAGAGAAAAACTAAAACTAGAGCTAAACAGAGAGCTTCTCTTGAAATGGAGAGAGAGCTATAAACACATCCCAAATTGAAAACACCACACACACTGCAGCAGCGCTGGAGCCTTGAGAAGCCCTCATCGAGCCCTCATCTCTCAGTGATTTAAAGCATGTTAATCCAGTCCATTAATGCCTCAGTGGCCTTCACTGATTGCTTTAATGAGGGTTGTGAGGTCAAGTCCAATCCAATCAGAATGCTGACAGTGCTGTGCTCGAGTGCCGTCTCCATACATTTATCCCAGAGGCAGAAGCTGGAAGAACAAGCAACTGAAAGCAGAGTGTGCGTCTCTAAGAGGAAGCGCTGTAGGTCTCAGGTGGTTATTTCATGGGGGGCCTGGAGAGTCCACTGCTCATGGAAAATGTCATGGAGATTGCCTGTGGAGCATAAAAGCTGGTCTCATAATTGTCCACCAAAACTGCAGTGCTCCCGTTGGTCACCACAGGAGCGGAAAGCAGCGTCCATCTGCTGAACTGTTTTCACATCTTGCCTCGCTTGCTTTTTAGCAAAGTCTATTTTCGCTGAAAGAAGCTTTGACAAACTACACTCACTGGCCACTTGATTAGAAACACATTTCTCTGTCCACTCACTGGCCACTTTATTAGAAACACCTACCTTTCTGCTTCCACTAACTGGCCACTTTTTTAGAAACACCCTCCCTTGTACTTCCATTCACTGGCCACTTTATTAGAAACATCTACTTTGTACTTCCACACATTGGCCACTTTATTAGAAACACCTACCTTGTGTTCCACTAACTGGCCACTTTATTAGAAACACCTACCTTCTGCTTCCACACACCTTCCTACTGATACACTCTGGCCATTACATAAGATATACCCACCTTTGTCCTTCCACTAACTGGCCACTTTATTAGAAACATCCACTTTGTACTTCCACTAACTGGCCACTTTATTAGAAACACCTGTATCTATTTTCCTGCAGAGTTTAGTTCTAACCTGCATCTTATACCTTCACATTAATGCATCTGATCCAGCCAATCAAAGACTTCTGCAGAAGTTGATTAGCTGGAGCAGGTGTAGCAGATTGTGACTGGAGCCAGGCTGTGCAGGAAGGTCGATCTCCAGGATGACGGTTTGTGACCACTGGTTTAGAGGATGGCTGTGCATCAACAGGTGACTGCACACTAGCCAGCTGGACCTACTAGACAGAGTGTTTCTAATAAAGTGTCAAGGAAGAGTTTAATCAGGTCACGAGGGGCTGGCAGGTCAAAGCAGAAGTGACAGAGAAGGTGTGATTCTCCAGCAGCTGGTGGTGGTAATTCAATCACATTATAATGACTGTAATAACAGCGAGAGTTTTCATAGTTATATCTGCTCTAATATAAAACAGGATTTGTGCTGAGACAGTTTTGGGAAGGACTGGCCAGAAATATGAAGACTATGATCTCCTGGCAGCATCTACATGGCTGAGAAGTACAGGCTTGTTTATTTCTGCAGGACAGATTAACTGGGCTGATAGAAGAAGGGAAAGCATTTTAAAACTGGGACCTTATTTCATGCAAAGCAGTTTTTTAGTGCTAAAAACATTTATTTTTAAATAAATGAACATTTAATCAGGCTTGGTTGATGGTGCACAGGACATAAAAGGACATTTTGCAGGATTTCATTAGGAAAATACAAAAGCAGGACATGTGCAAAAGCATGAATCTTAAGAGTGATTGAAAAAGGAGGCAAGGTCAAAACAACAGGTCAAGGAAACCAGTCGAACAGACTGGGCTGGAAACCTGAGCCAAAATAAAGAAAACAGGTTTCCAAGCAAAGTACATAACCACTAGGTTTGTTTAGGGAGCCTGAATTTTAATTAAACCCCCCCAGTGAAGCGTATCTCACCTATTCATTAATCAGTATTATAAAACGGATAGTTCCGGTCCTAAAATCTGATTGGCTGAGATGCGTTCAAAGCCATTTTAAAATCCACAATATACACACACCTATGACCACTTATTGATGCATTGACCACCAAGTGTACTGATGAAGTAAGAAATTTCTGTTTAAACTGAGGGGCTGACAGCTTATTTTCTTATCTAGAACCAGGCTGGTCAGCTAGCTAACAGGCTAAAAGAGCCAACAGCCTAAACAGCTCCATCATTAATATCACAGCCTTGAATTAAACTACTTACGATATCATTAACCGTAAAACTGCAGAGAAAAAGACTGAAAATGTCACTTAAACACCATCGTGCCTAACAACACCCTTCCCCGTGAGCCTCTCGTGGCTTGGCGCTTTAGTAAACAAACACAGTAAGAACAAAGCAGATCTAAAGAGCTCAGAAACACGGCAGTAAACACATACAAGACTTTGTGAAGGCTTTATATACTAAGGCTGAGTGCCAGAAAAACAAGTGTCAGGTGTGAGAAGTCAGTAGTCAGGTAAGTCGGAGCAGGTTATCCTGGAACTAAGCACTGGACGTGTGGTTTTCAACTGAGGATTATGGGAAATGTATTTTTCAGAAGAATTGGAAGGCTGAGCAGCACCGAAATATATTTCCATATCTCTAAATATTGTAACTTTACAGGAATATTTTTTTTTCAATTAATTTTGGATCATTTCTCTCAGTCTATTCACTGCAAAACTGTCACTAAATGTGCACTCAAAGAAGTAACTTACAGGGTTGTTGGAGTTACAGAGTGAAAATATGTTGACAGTATATAAATGAACTAAGAAACTAATTTATATAAAGTGGACAAAAATGAATGAAAATACATTTTCACTATTCAGCCACATGCAAATTTCAAAATACGACTTTGTTGAAGTCAAAAATACATAAACACAACCTCTACAAAAAACACGTGTAAATATATATATATAATATATTGCTTTCCACAAATGTTAGCGTGCAATTCATATTTATTTGCAGAATCTAACATTACAAAAAAGTAGTGTGCCTTTACTTTTGCACAGGCTGCATTTTATTTCCCTGACAGTAAACAAACAGTAATTGTGCATCAAAACGTGCAGAAGTGTGCTCTCTGTAGAGGACGTGTTCACTTTTTTACATTTAGAAAATCAACAACAATGTAGTATTCAACCAGGGGTGCCTAAACTTTTGCACAGGACCTCAGAAATGTTGGAAATCTGATTTGCAAAGCCATAATCAAACATATCGTCATTTTGTAGGTGAACAAACAAGTAAATGTTGACATAAAAGTGTTTTTATTGTGTTTATACGGTTTTAATTGTGGCAGTTGTGCTCATTGCTTTCACCCTCATTGCTCACCAGCAGCTCAACATTCATGACACACCATTTCACACCCAGAGAGTCGACAGCGACCCAGTTCATCTGAAAACTAAGAATATTCTAATTGATTATAGTAAGTAAAAATATCTACCTCAATTCCCATGAATGGCCACTAGGGGACCTGCAGAAAGAGGTTAATTTGATTCAATTCTATTTGATTTTAGATTTTACAGTTACCTCAGAGTGACGACGTAATTGGTGGTTGGCCAGCCAATCACGAATGAGTTTTGGGCGCTGAACTTCCTGCTTGTCACATGCTGGATACAGGAAGCGAGCCATATATCACAGAGACTCACACGAGCCTTCAGCTTCAGATACAGCGACCTAAACACATAAACAAACACATAAACATGGACTTATTCATATTCATACACACATATATATATATATATATACACAAGTTTAGCTTCAAATGGGGTCAAATGTAAAGTATTAATACATAAATACGCAGCTTCTTACTTAGTTTTGGCAATGATGAGCGAGTCGGTGAAGAGTAGGAGGAGCCTCTCTCGCGTCTCCAAGCCGACTGTGAGGTGGGCGTGGTCTTCCAGAAGAAGCACTGCATTCGGAGACAAGTGATCCGCCCCGTACGCATCACTGTGGGATAGACAATAATTCTACTGAACACTTAAAAAAGATGGTTATTCAAAGGTTCTTTAGTAAAGAAAACATCGTAAATTCAAGTCAAGGCAAATTTATTTATATAGCGACTTTTACAACAGATGTTGTCACAAAGCAGCTTTACAGAGAATCCGGGTCCCCCAGTGAGCAAGCCTTGGCGACAGTGGCAAGGAAAAACTGCCTCAACAGGAGGAAGAAACCTCGAGAGGAACCAGACTCAAAAGGGGAACCCATCCTCCTCTGGTCAACACCGGATAACAGCACAGACACAAAAATGGTTCTATACTGAACTATGAGCACTCAGAGAACCCTTCGCATGGTTGAAGAGGTCTTTGCATAGTTAAATGGTTCTTCAGATTGAAAAGCCTCTTTGAAAAGGGTTCTAGACAGCACCAAAAATCCTTACCTTACCGGCTTGACATTGTAACAATGGCAGCACCCATTTTGGTGCTATATGAAACCCTTTTCAAAAATGTTCTACATAGAACCATCTACAGCACGTTCTCCATCAATCTGAAGAACCATTTAACTATGCAAAGAACTCTTTAACTATGCAAAGGGTTCTCTGAGTGTTCATGGTTCAATATAGAACCATTTTCTTTACTAAAGAACCCTTGAGTTCCTGAGGAACCACCCCTTTTAAGAGTGTACCACCAAAAGATTGGGCCTCATTCACCAATATGTTCCCTAAGTCTGTTCTTAAGTGTGTTCTTGAGAAAGGTCCTCAGAAAAACTCTACGTCAGATTCATGACGTGTTCTTTAAGCGCAGAACTGTTCTGACCTTTGTGCTCTTGAGATTCTGCTCTTAGCTAAGAACAAATTCCAAATAAGATGAACGAATATCAGAATGTTCGTAAAAAAAAACTGCGTAAGTGGGTTTTAAGAAGAAATTTCTTCCTAAGAATGGTTGGTGAACGAGGCCCATTGTTATATTGCTATACACCGACTGGGGACCTGACCATATAGGGACACTTAGTAGCTCTACAATTACAGACTGTAGTCCATCTGTAGGTGTAACCGTAGAAACGGGTGTAGCCCATTGATTGACATATTCAGGTGGATCATTTTTTTAATCAGCCCACGTTGTAATTCGGTGTCCGTCATCAGGATTGTGACGTCTGGGCAATGAAAGTAGATCTGTTGATAGATTTCACCACCAAACTCCATCTAACGCTGGGCTTTGAAGAGCCTGCGTATTGTTCACAGTGCGAAGTCTGATAGCGTGCAGGTCTGAGAGTGATGGAAGGAACGCCGGAAGGAGTGGAGGGGAAAAATGGAGAAGTTCTGGGCTGCAGTGGGTGGTGGGCTGTGTTATTGTTCGTGTGTGATGTCACTATTTTACATTGCGCAAGATCCTTATCAGAGACGGCTGCAGTCCAGAAACAAAGGAGAAATACAGAGAACGCTATTTTCGCTCTTTTTCCCCCCTTTCTCTCTCTCTCTCTCTCTCTCTCTCTCTCTCTCTCTCTCTCTTCTTGTTCTTTTCACTCTTGGCATGAGTGACGCAGGTTATGTGCCTTTCCTCCTGTCGTGTGAGTGCGCGTTTCTGCACCACATTCCTGCCCATATAAGGCCGAGCGTAACTGGTAGCACCAAATCAGATGGACGTAAGCACCGTCTCCATAAGCAACAGAGCGTGTGTGTATAATCTGACACGTTACTGTCTATTGAAAAACTGAATAAAGACAGAAAGTGTATATCTGGTGTCGTGCGCTGTGTAAACTGTGTTTGAGCAGCGTTTAGTTTGGAGCTGAGTGAGTTTATCTTAATGATTTTGTGGTGTTGATGGTTGGAGTGATAAGGTAAGTAGAGGGGAGGAAAAGAGAGACAATTTCAGCTGTAAACAGACACGCAGCCACGTTTACAGTTGTGTAACTGGGTCCCGCTGAGTTATTTCACTACATAATACTGGCGTTAATGCGCCCCCCCCCCCTCGTCTCTCACTCCGCTTGTAGTCCACCAGCCAAGAAAGGTTTGGTGGGTGAAGTTTGCTTCTTTAGTTTTAGACTGGAGTTGGGAATCTTGATGTATTTAAGAGTAAAATTGAGTCTGTTTTACTAAACAACATTAGAATTGTTGTAACAGTTATAATACTGTTATAAAAGTGGTAACACCACTGACTGCAAAACCACTGACTGTAACACTACTAACTGCAACTCTACCAACTGCAACTCAACTCACTGTAACACCACTTACCACAACACCACTGACTGCAACTTAACTCACTGTAACACCACTGACAGCAGCACCACTGACTGATATTCCACTGATTGCAGCACTACTGACTGTAATACCACTGACTGCAACTCTTTTGACTGCAACTCCACTCACTTTAACACCGCTGACAGTAGCACCATGAACTGCAGCTCCATTGACTGCAATTCCACTAACAGTAGCAACACTGACTGCAAAGTCACTGACTGTAATACCACCGACTGCAAAACCACTCATTGTAACACTACTGACAGCAGCACCACTGACTGCAACTCTACTGATTGCAAAACCACTGACCATAGCCAGATTTATCAGAAATATTAAAAGAGATTCAGGCTTTTTATCTTTTTTCTGTAATACTACTGGAAAAAATAAATGTTGGGACAAAATTTATTCTCAAAATAAAACTGCATTAATATTTTTAAAATAACTAGCACAGTATAGGCAATCATTTAAACTGAAAAACTGCTGTTTCTGTTTTAAAAACAGAAGAATTAACACACATTTGTCAGTTAAATTACAGAGTCATCAGCTTTTCATGGTTCATCCTTAGTTTGAGCTCATTTTAAGCTTCCAAGTTCTGGTGGAATCAGTTTGATACGAGGCTAATGCAGCTGACCGCCTGCCGAAATCATCACAAAGCGTGTGGAGCTGTTCAGTATCTCTAAAAGACTTGATTATGTGGTTTCTGACACTGTCTGACAAACATGTTATCTATAAACATGGACTAAAGTACAGACAAAATTCTGTTTTTATAGATAACAGTGCGTCAGAAACGACGTAATCAAGTTTGAGTAACTTTTAGAACTGCAGTGGAACTTTTTAATACATACAGCAGCAACATACATAAACCAACACTGTAAAACTACGAGGCTGCAGTCGGCTTCTTATTCAAATTCCCCATTCCACCTTAAATAGTGTGTTAAAGTATCGATCCAATTTTAGTAAATGTGCTGCTGTAGCGCTAGTGCGTTAAAGTGGAATAGAAAATTCAAATAAGAAGCTCAAATAACAGGCCTGAGGCAGCAGAATGTAACAGCTGCACTATTTAAGGTGGAACGGAAAACTGTAATAAAAGGCTGGTGAATAAGAAACCTGAGGCGGCAGAATGTAACAGCTGCACTATTTAAGGTGGAATGGAAATTTCTAATAAGAGGCCTGAGGCGGCAGAATGTAACAGTTGCACTATTTAAGGTGGAACGGAAACCTTGAAGAAGTCTGAGGCTGCAGAGTGTAACAGCTGCACTATTTAAGGTGGAACAGAAAACTCAAATAAGAAGCTGGTAAATAAGACGTCTGAGGCTGTAGAGTGTAACAGCTGCACTATTTAAGGTGGAACGGAAACCTTGAAGAAGTCTGAGGCGGCAGAGTGTAACAGCTGCACTGCTTAAGGTGGAACAGAAACCTTGAAGAAGTCTGAGGCTGTAGAGTGTAACAGCTGCACTGCTTAAGGTGGAACGGAAACCTTGAAGAAGTCTGAGGCTGAAGAGTGTAACAGCTGCACTATTTAAGGTGGAACGGAAAACTGTAATAAGATGCTGATGAATAAGAAGCCTGAGATGTCAGAATGTAACAGCTGCACTATTTAAGGTGGAACGGAAAACTCTAATAAGAAGCCTGAGATGTCAGAATGTAACAGCTGCACTATTTAAGATGGTCTAAAATAACATGCTAAAGCTCCAAATGTGAGAGATGTGAGCGACAGTGAAGCAGCCCAGGCACTGAACCATCATAACAGAATGAAATTAATCCCAAAAAAGAGAATTAGGAGCTGCATGTTACAGACTGGGGAAAATTCCTCGCTTTATTCAGTAGAAACAAAAGTATTATCATATGAAATGTACTAATCCATCAAAATCTAAGTGTAACTAATGACCACACACCACACTTTCTCTTTTAATTTCCCCTTTAAATGAAACAATATGAGTCTTCTTTGCCTCCAGCAACATCTCATCTCTTCCATAGTGCCAAGTGATAAAATCATGGAGAAGAGAAGACCGTAAATGCCCTCGAGGCACTCAGCAGGACCGCGTTTGCGAACTCCATCATGCAGTTAAAAGCCGAAAGCGAGAAGGGAAACACGTTTCAGAAGCTGCCAGCACACACACACACGGACGCAATGACGTAGATAATAATGTATTTTAACGACACAATCTGGAGAAATGAAGCAAAAATCAATGAAGATAACCAAACGTATATGAATGGAGGTTCAGTTTAGGTGGACTGTTTGATTATACTTGTATTTTATGAGGGATTTTGCTGCTGTTTGTACCAGTATGAATGCAGCACGTGTTCACGTGTATCTCCTTCAGCTCAAGTCCTATGCTGAGGGAATAGTTGTGGAAGCAGAGCTGTATAGTGGGGAGCACTTTATTTGAAGGCTACCTACATAGGGACACATACAGTTTTGTATCTATTGCAGGTCATTTCATCTTTACCTTATTTTCTCTATCTGATGTGACCAGTGAACACAGTTCAATGGTAAATGAAATGAGGACATTAAAAATCATAGAATCGATATGTACAGTTCCTAATTAGCCACCAGTTAGAAAATGTTGCAAGTCATCTAGCGGATAATGAGCTGCTGACTAATTGTCACACATCCCTCCGGCTCTGACATACTCAAAGACTCCATTTCCCAGAACCCCTTGGGAGACCATGTGACAGTGAAACCTCCACAGTCCACCAACCACTGTTCTAAACCACCTGAGTACTGACAGAGAACTTGTAGAGAGGAGAAGAATCGCTCTGTAATGTCTTCCAGGTTTCTCAAACACTAGAGGGCGCTCCTGAGGGAGTCCAAAATGAATGGGGTAAGATGGAGCAAAAACATAGTTTATAAAAGCTTAAACATTTTTAATATAAAATAATACATCCATTACCTAAAGAGAGAACAGCATAAAACATTTGTACACCACTGTTTCATTGTTTAAGAGCTTTTAAACGTCAGTGAGCATGAACAGCCAATGAGCTGAGTGAAATACATCCTTCTACTTTCTAAAATTAAAGGAAAGTTCTGGGCGAGTGATTAGAAACTTTTTAACTTTTCATTTTTAGCTCCATACATCCTCATTCATTGAGGACTTGCTCGCAGGCGCCCTCTGCTGTTCTGCAGGCTTGTTTTTGATATAACAAGGGAAATAGGAAGCGGCCAGGCTCCCCATAAACCGGCTCTGGTACTAATCTGTCTCAGGTATTCTGTTTATCATGTGACCAGATCTAGTCTAGTATATAAGCCCAGGTTTTCAACCAGTTACTTTGCGAGGTATTGTGTCTCCCTGTAGAGCTACTGAGCATTTATGTATATTTGTTTTGCCTGCTCGTGTATCTGACTGTATTTTTAGACTTCCTGATTTTGGCATTTTGCCTCTCCCCTTTTGGATCTTGGTTGCCCGATATTATTTTGGTTATGTTTGTCATTTTCTATTTCTTGTGTTTTTTGGATCTGAACACTGCTTATCGACGACAATTTTTGCCAAACCCTTAAGGCCTTATTTCTTATTTTTAACTGCGAGCGTCTGGCTGGTCCTGTCAGGTTGCAGTAATATTCAAGTCAATATTTGAGGATTTGGAAATATGTAATTGTAAAACCATATATTTTTGCTTTATAAAGTGTTATGCATGTAATCATAACCTTTAAATTGTAGCATTATGTCATATTTTCTGCTAAACTGAAAGAAGTAGCATTACTGAGTATACTGCTCTGCTGCGAGCCGCCCCGGAAAGCCTGAAATAATCACTTAAAAGTCAGAGGTGTCGGGACAGATTGGGTGGGAGTTATGATGTTGTACGTCTTTTTGTATTAACATCAGACACAGACTCAAAAAGAAGGTCCGGCTCGATGTTTAGGCCTCAAATGATCTCAAAGTCAACACGGTAACATTTTCTATGAATGTCACCTTTGTAAGCATCTATAAACACATTTATAACATGTTATAATGCCTTCATACGGCATTATAAACATGATCATAAACATTTATAAAAATGAATTACACTGAATTACACTTTATAGCCATGTTTATTATACATTATGAATTGTTAATATAATGCATTATAAGTAGTGTTAATAACATGTTATACTGTCAGTGCCAAAGAAGTCAGTCCCAGCTTGGAGAGCGTAAAGTAAAGACAAATACCAAGCTAACGGTGGTGAACATTACCTTTCCCACATTGGGTAAAACACTGATGGCAGCTCTAGTTTAAACTCTGACATTTGAAGCCTGTAATGTGCTTTATTGTGAATGTTTTAGTGTTTCAGTAAATCCTTCAGTAAATACTTCAACTTGAAGCCTCACTCTGAACACTGGAGGAGGCTTTAGTACAGTACGCTTCACTTTACTTAGAGCAGACAAATACGACTTATGAGCTCTTATAATTTGTTATGATCAGTACTTATAATGTATTATGATAACAGTTCATAATGCATAATAAACATGGCTATAATGTATAATGCATTTTTATAAATATCTATAGCTATGTTTATAATGTCTTATGAATGCATTATAACATGTTACGAATGTGTTTATAGATGCTTACAAAGGTGACATTCATAGAAAGTGTTACCAAATTAACTACACTGAATTACACTTAATAGCTATGTTTATCATACATTATGAATTGTTAATATAATGCATTATAAGTAGTGTTAATAACATGTTATACTGTCAGTGCCAAAGAAGTCAGTCCCAGCTTGGAGAGCGTAAAGTAAACACAAATACCAAGCTAACGGTGGTGAACATTACCTTTCCCACATTGGGTAAAACACTGATGGCAGCACTAGTTTAAACTCTGACATTTGAAGCCTGTAATGTGCTTTACTGTGAATGTTTTAGTGTTTCAGTAAATCCTTCAGTAAATACTTCAACTTGAAGCCTCACTCTGAACACTGGAGGAGGCTTTAGTACAGTACGCTTCACTTTACTTAGAGCGGACAAATACGACTTATGAGCTCTTATAATTTATTATGAACAGTACTTATAATGTATTATGTTAATAATTCGTAATGCATAATAAACATGGCTATAACAATGCATTTTTATAAATATTTATAGCCATGTTTATAATGCCTTATGAATGCATTATAACATGTTATGAATGTGTTTATAGACGCTTACAAAGGTGTCATTCATAGAAAGTGTTACCGTCAACACTATATTGATGAAGATATGATGACAACAGTAGATAATTCACTCACATCCTCAGAAGACGCTCCTTCAGCGAGTTAAACGAATTAGAAATTATTTTAAAGGAACCGAACATGATCTTCAACTTCAGAGGTGAGGGGTGTTTTTAATGAGTGTCTCATTTCATTTATATTCGTTGCGCAGACGGTGCGAGAGTGAGTGAACGGCTCTGTCCATCACAGGAAAGAGGAGGTAGAGAAAGATCGATTTCCGCTTACAGAGATGAAACCGCTCGTCATCAGAGCGAAGGAAGAAGGAAAGGATGAGAGGAGAGAAAGAGAGAGAATGATAAAGGGGAGAGAGAGAGGGGGAGGAAAGAGTAGAACACAGAGTGAGTGGAGGGAGAGGTGAGGAGCATTAGAAGGAGAGAGAGAGAGCGACACTGAGGAAAGACAGAGATGACCGGTGATGGAGAGACGAGAGGGAGAGAAACTATGAGAGAGCAGAAATAAAAGTACATCTATTTGCAGATTTACACAGCATATAGCACAGATTTGTTGTATTTACATGAGAGTGTGAAATTAGCATTAATTAGTATGATTGTAATTATGTTAATAATGTTATTATTGTAATTATAGTCATTAATAATGTTATTTTCTACAGTTCTTGTTGTTTTCATTGCTGTGTTATGGCTGCTGATGTAATGCTGGCAATACTGTACTCAACACAGCCCAGTTAATAAAGCTATTCTGAACTGAGAGAGAGAGAGAGAGAGAGAGAGAGAGAGAGAGAGAGAAAGAGAGAGAGAGAGAGAGTACCTGGTGTGCTGTTTGCTCTTGCTGAATGCTCTTATAACAGTGTGTGTGGTGTGTCTCCGGTGGACTGTCGTCTTCATCATCTACAAAAAAATAAAGTCCCACACATTAATATTTCACTACAAAAGAACTATCAGCACTTATCATCGATTCGGTCTCAGTAGACCTTTATTTCATTTACGAAAACAAACCATCTCCAGTGTTCTGCTGCTTTAACACAACACTTTTACAGAATGGAGAAAAAAGTAGAGGTGCTAAAGTGAACACGACTGTAAGGGGGTAAAGGGGACCACTTTCAGGGGTCCAACCACTAGGGGGAGCCCAAGAGACCAAGCATAGAGCTCGGAAAACATAACAGAGGAAAATAATACTGTGGTATGCGCCCGTCCCCAGGGCCGTGATGACGGCCGTGAGTGTGGGCAGGAAGGCCGGGCCCGAACTCTGAGCGAGGATGAAGCCCCGTGAGGATGGTGGGGAGAGGAGAGCTGCGAGGGAGGAGGGGATGGCACGTGAGTCCCGAGCTCCGACTCCAACACCTCCCCCACTCTCCAGCTCATCTCCAGCGCCCAGGCGGCAGGGACTTGCGCGATGTCCCCCACTACCTTGCTGTTCTACTCTCCCTGCCATCCTCGCAGGGTTTTGTCCTCGCTCTGGGTTCGGGCCGGGCCTGAATACGTTAAGTTTACCTCCTCGAAGAGGAGATATCAGTGAGGGATGTCCACATCGGTATCAGAGGCAATCCTGGAATAAAACCAACGCTAACGCTAATACTGAAAGCATTAATCACCAAAGGCAAAGCAAAAGACTCCACAACCTACTAGTCACTCATACTGAACACAATCGATTGACACACGTGAACAAAATCCATTAAATGTCCAGAGCAACCAGATAAGATGCTGGGCCAAGCAAAACCGGCATGGAGCGGAGCTGACTTGGAGCGGAGCCACAGTGAGGCAAACACGACACCGGCTTGAGTTTAATGAGTAAAATCGTGAGTCAGTTAAGGGCGAGTCCGTCGATGACTCCTGAAATTTGATTCAAACTTGATTTGGGTGCGGCTAAATTTTAAATACAGCTACATGAACTGCTGGAGGATTTACATTATTTAGATCCAAAAGAAGTTTTAAACAACTGAAGTTGCATGACAGTTTCATCATGTACACTGCCACCCAAAACTCCATGGAGGGACCCTAATGGCCAGTCACAGTGGTCAGAGAAGTCTCTTAAGGCTGAAGCTAATGGCTTCACCGCAGGAGCTCTAGCGACTGACCCAGTGGGTGGCTAATGCAAGTCCTTTTGACAAAACAGTCTGAAAGTGATGTTAAAGTGTTAAAAAAAACTGCCCTGTATTCCAAACACAGCAACTCTTGTTCATCAAAGTGGTTTGTCCAAATTTCCCCCACAGTTTTGTTATTCATCAGTACGATTAAAGTCACGTTTGGTGTAAATTTGAGCAAAACAGCTTAACAATCTGACATAAATGCCCAATTTGCAGTTAATTAACCACAAATATTATATACAATACCAATAATAAGACTAAAAATAGAAAATAACAGTAGTACTAATACTTTGTGCCTTACAAAAGCTTATTACACTGTCCTTTTATTTTATTCCACTGACTCCGCCCACAAAATAAACAATATGAAACACAGCTAGTGCTGTACACTGTAACAATAAAGCATTTAATTGTGTCATTTTAGTAAAATAAACACACGTCAAAGTCATGTCATTCTACTTACTTTTAGATGTTTTCTTATCTCCAGTGGTCGTAATTGTAACACTATAAAGTTTGATCAGTAGGGGGAGCAGTGAACTTTCTGCCTGACCTCAAACTCCGCCCATGAGCGCAGCCATTGGCTCATGAGCACCTGTGGTTTCATTGGCTTTGTACAAAAAACATCGGCATGAATTAAGGCGTCAATTATGTAAATGAGGTAGTCGTGGACTGGCGCTTGATTTCACGCACCGAAGCTGAAAAAAGATGGTGATTTTTACCCAACTTTGGCCACTAAACCCCTCATCAACACGTTAGAGCTTCATCCCTCTCTCTCTCTCTCTCTCTCTCTCTCTCTCTCTCTCTCTCTCTCTCTCTCTCTCATCTATTCCTCACTCTTTCTTTCTTTATCTCTTACTTTCTCTCAGTGCTCTTTATCTATGATTCTCTCTTTTCTTTTATCATCTCTGTTTCTCACTTTCTCTTTATTTGCCTTTCTCTTCTCTCCTCTCTCTCTCTCTCTCTCTTCTCTCTCTCACTCACTTGCTCGCTCTCTCTCTCCTTTGCTCGCTCTCTCTCTCCTTCGCTCGCTCTACCCTGTTCAATTTCCTCCACTTTCACAGCTCCTTTTTTCTCATCTCCCTCAGATCTGCTCACTATGGTAACCATTCATGAGAACGGGTCATTTTTTATAGCTGAAATGATGTTTTTTTTCTGCCTGTTTCCCCCCCTGTTTTTTACATAAGTCCTGAATGCTCAGTGGTCTATAGGCTCCTGCTCTGCTAATGAGTGACCCTTTATGATGCTAAAATATTAATGGTCTCTAATGCACCACCTCAACCACCCATAACCACATAATACCCGCATGATGTTTGTATTTGTCTGCTGATTTAAATCTGCGTCAGAGTAGTCAGTGAGTCAGTGAACGGAGAGCAAAGTGAGGCCCTGTATTAATGTAGTGTTCCTAATAACATGTCATTTGAATTTGTTTTAAAGTTTTCTTGTGTTCAGTAAAGTCAAAATTAAACACTTCTAAATAACTCAGTATGTTTTTAGTTTTATTCATGACCTTATTTGATGCATAATTGGTGATTTGCTATGTCAAAAAATACTAATACCTGCATTATTAGATGTAATAATGCATACTAAACACATTATTAAGAGCATTTTTATGCAAATTACTAAGCATGAATTATCACCTATATTCACATCTTATTGGTCTGTAATGCATTAGTGTATAAACGGCAGATTCCTTTAGGTTCTAGATAGCAGCGAGTTTTTGCTTTATTTGAGCTTATTAAGTCACTGATACTTCAATATCCTGAAGATAAAAAGCACGTCAAATTGCTATAATTCTGTATTCTGAAGATTTTATGGTAAAAAATGGTGAATACTTCATCTCTAATTTGTGATGCAAAGCGTTTTTAGCCTCGAATTAGTGAAGACTATCACTGCACGTCTTGAAGTAGAAGTAACTTATTAAATTCTTATTAGTGCTAAACTCAAATAAAGCAATAAACTTGACAAAGTCTAGAACCTGAAAGAATCAAATGCTGCTAATTAATGCACTAATACAGTGTGAAATTAGGTAATAATTAATGTGCAAAACAGGGTCTTAACAAAGTGTTTATTGGGCATCGTTGCAATCCATGATGTTCATATGACAGATCAAAAATGACACACTAATATAGGTGATAATGAAGGAAGCTAAATGTGAATAGACTGTTTAGAAGTGTGTATTATCTGGGCTTTACTGAATGAAGAAAAAGACCTTAACAAAAACCCAACATGCAGTCGTCTGTCTACTGGTGTTACTGGGGGTTTTTTCAGGGTTCTTTTGTGCTGCTAATAGACAACCTCTCTCAGATGTTCACGCACATCTAAAAAGCAAAGGCACTGTATTTGTAGCTGATGTGATTGTTGTCTGCCCCCCTTCTTTACACAAGTCCTGAATGCTCAAGTGGTCTATAGGCACCTGCTCTGCTAATGAGTGACCCTTTATGACAATATTAATGGTCTCTAATGCACCACCTTCACCGCCCATAACCACGTAATACATGCATGGTGTTTGTCTCCGTCTCTTTTAGCTGGTTTAAATAGCTTAGCAACACCTTAGCAACTGACTGGGATAATATAGTAATAGCTAAGCAACACCTTAACAACCACTTGGGATAACATAGCAGTGGCCTAGCAACACCTTAGCAACCACCTGGGATACCATAGTAATGCCTCAGCAATACCTTAGGAACAAATTGGGACACAACTGCATGGCCTAGCAACACCTTAGCAGCCAGCTGGGATAACATAGCAATGGCTAAGCAACACCTAGGATACCATAGCAATGGCCTTGCAATCCTTTAGCAACCTCCTAGGATACCATAGCAATGGCCTAGCAATCCTTTAGCAACCTCCTAGGATACCATAGCAATGGCCTTGCAATCCTTTAGCAACCTCCTAGGATACCATAGCAATGGCCTAGCAATCCTTTAGCAACCACCTAGGATACCATAGCAATGGCCTTGCAATCCTTTAGCAACCTCCTAGGATACCATAGCAATGGCCTAGCAATCCTTTAGCAACCTCCTAGGATACCATAGCAATGGCCTTGCAATCCTTTAGCAACCACCTAGGATACCATAGCAATGGCCTAGCAATCCTTTAGCAACCTCCTAGGATACCATAGCAATGGCCTAGCAATCCTTTAGCAACCTCCTAGGATACCATAGCAATGGCCTAGCAATCCTTTAGCAACCACCTAGGATACCATAGCAATGGCCTAGCAATCCTTTAGCAACTCCTAGGATACCATAGCAATGGCCTAGCAATCCTTTAGCAACCACCTAGGATACCATAGCAATGGCCTAGCAATCCTTTAGCAACCTCCTAGGATACCATAGCAATGGCCTAGCAATCCTTTAGCAACCACCTAGGATACCATAGCAATGGCCTAGCAATCCTTTAGCAACCACCTAGGATACCATAGCAATGGCCTAGCAATCCTTTAGCAACCTCCTAGGATACCATAGCAATGGCCTAGCAATCCTTTAGCAACCACCTAGGATACCATAGCAATGGCCTAGCAACACCTTAGCAGCTGCCTGGGATAACATAGCAATGGCCTAGCAGCAACTTGGCAACCATCTTGGATACCATGGCAATGACCTAACACTACATTGTCCTAATCTCGGGTGGTGCTACCGTAAGCATTCCGTTGACCATTTACAAGGATGATTTCTCTGGCCCCGCCCACACAAAACAGACTCAGAGAAACATAGTAAGCTAAAGCCAGACCACCTTCTTTAGCCATTTAACCTTTGTTAGTCCGTTTCTGTTACCTTCACATAAAAGCTGGATAACGATCTTAGCTCTGTTATGTATTATATATATATTATATATATATATATATATCACTGTTGTCGGAAGAAAACCTCGTATCTCCAAAATGGTAACTTTACAAGAGAAGGAAAAAACCTACTTTACTTTTAATGTAAGTCAATGGAACCAGACTTTTTTCCAAGTCATTTTGCGTCGTTTCTTTTAGTCCATTCATTATGAAATTTACTTACAATGTTAACGAGTTTTTTCAAATTCTGTCAAAAACTGAAAAACATCAAAAAATGTTTTCTTCCAACAACAGTGATATGTACGTTATACATAAGTGACAGAGCAGCCTAGTAATGTTGGACAGAGAGCTGTCAATCAAGCTGCTCTTTAGCCATGCCCACAAAGTTCTCTGATAGGTCTGATCAGCAGTTTTTAAGCCATGTTTTATGTATCTATAGCTTACATTTTTCATTCAAGCTTTGCTGGATGTTTAATATAACACTCAAGTTTAATACCATACAAATATTTCTGATATTTTACTGTCTTCTTTCAGTAAATTAGACTCTCATATTGTACATCAGACTCTGGAGGCACACTGCAAAAAATGATATCTTAGCAAGTGAAAACATCTGAAATCTTTCTAATCTTAATGTTTTAATTTCTCATTATAAAACTGTTGTAAAAATATGATAAGATTATTCTACTTATTCTATTATGTAGTGAAAGTGTCTTATTCCACTGGCAGATCATTTTACGTTTTCAAAGAAATAAGATCATTTTTCCAATTTGAGAAATTATGCTTTAAACAAGTAAGAATAGATGCTTTCATAAGACATAACAAGTAAAATTGAATAGAAATAAGCTAAATATTTGTCTAATAGTCATACAACAATCTCGGTTAGATATATTGCCTAGATTTACGATGTTTTAATTTTCTAAGATGCCATTTTTTTGCAGTGCAACTTGTTCCATTTTTGTCCTGGAGTAAACCCTTCCTTCACCCCGACCCCAAATTCCTGCTCTTTTTCTTTGCAGAGTGCAACCATTAACACAAGCAAACGAGCCAGCTAGTCAAATGACATACGCAACATTCATCCATGCTAACTTACATTCCATCCATGTGCCAACGACAAGCTTGCTGTCCACTGGACAGGGTTGACGAGCACAGCAGCGACACCTACTGTGAGCTCTCCCTTCACAAGCATTGGAATGGTTTAGGAATTTCACACTGCAATACGTACTAAGGCCCAGTCCCATTTTACCCCTCACCCCTACCACTTAGCCCCACCCCTCTGTTTTACAAGTTCATGTCTAGGGGTAGGGTGTCCTGATTCTTGTTGAGATAGAGGGGTAGGGCGAAGTGTTAGGGCTACATCGGCCCCTGAACAGAGGTTTTTCCATACTCCAAACAGAGTGATGAGAAAAAAAATGAAACACCGACAAAATGAGCGACGAAAGAAACTCACAAATGTGAGAATTTTCCCTGTTGTAAAATTAGTTTAATGTTGTTTCAGTGTATTATGGTCCTTTTCATCACAACAAGCAATTTTCTCGTTCCACCTTAAATGGTGCAGCAGCTCTGATGCCTGAGGTGCCAGAATGTAACTGCTGCACCATTTAAGGTGGAACGGGAAAATTTAGCTAGCTAGACCGAGACATCAGCAAACTACTAGCTACTTTATATGCTTGTTATGATGAAAAGGTTTATTTTTAAGGTGGAACGGGAAAATTCGAACGAGAAGCTGGTGAATATCTGACTTCAGCTTCATATCACTGAAGAATTAGGGGTGGGTGATAATAAATAATTGCCCCCCTCTTTGAAGGCATATGATTCCCTAAATGTAACTAAAGCCCAGCAGTGAGGAGCTGAACTTTACCCTCCTCTGCTGTCACTGCAGACTGGCAGGGTCGCCTACAGAGCAGCGATAGTAGCTGTTAATGAAGTGATGCTCTTTTTATTTGAGGGTCCCATTTCAGAGGGAAGATTTCAACCACTACCCTGTAACTCAGTTCTAAGGAGCAAGGAGACACTCGAAAACAAGGGGTAGGGGTAGAAATGAGAAATGGGTTTGGGCCCAAGTTTACGTTTTGCCGCATTTACTCCAAAATTTCTCAAATTTGTCCACAGACGAGATCTGGCCCTGATACACTATCACTGTATAAAAGAAGCGTCATGCTGCCTTTATTGTTGGATGCACTGTGATAGTTGAGAGTGTGCACTGACAATGAGAATAGCATTCCCATCTCTATGGAAACGCTTATTATTGACTTATTTTATCAGTTTATATCAATAAATAACAGTACAAAATCAATGTAGTTGAATCAGCAACTTCAGGCTCACAATAAAAAAAGTTGCTTGCAAACTTTTGGCCTATAGTGTACCTCTCTCTCTCTCTCTCTCTCTCTTTCTCTCCATCCCTCCATTCTTACCTTCCTGCAGGTTTCATTGTCCCGTAGCGGAGTTTGAAGTTTAGCGCCCTGCTGCGGGGTCATTTTAAACCTCCGGTCAACAAATCCATAGCAGGTTGACCTCTGAAAAGCTGAATGTCCACTACTGGTCAGTTATCTTCTTCACCTGAAGGCCCAGAACGTTCCAGCTTCAACAAATCCATCCAAATGTTCTATTTCACTAGAAACGCTCAGGCTGAGTCATGGCGCCAGGTGTGTTTTACTGGTCTTAGTTTAGCAGCAGATGCATTTTATTCGTCCTCCTTTAGACCCAAACAGTTTAGCTTCTTACTCCAAAGGCAAAGTACTGCTCTCTCGCCCACTGTCTCGCTCCCCCTTCCTTTCCTCTCTCCTCTTCTTTCTCCCTCCCCCTTCATGCCTGTGTCTATTTCTTAATCTGTTATCCGTCCCCTTTCCTGTCCACCTTCTTCCTTTTGGGAGCTCTACCCCCCTCTCACCCCCCTCTGTTTGGGCTTTAGCGTTGCTTTACATTCACAGAGGAACATTAACTTGTGCTGAGTTGAAGACAGTCAGTAGTGTTTTGCTGTAATGAGTTTAAAGACGTAGTTCAGTCCAAAAAGTGTTCTAACAGCTGCTAACAGTAAGTGAAAACAACCCACTTTAGCACAATTAATTAGCATTATGCAAATGAGACCATGTTAATTGGTGGCTACTGGCTTATCTTCACCATTAGGCTCGTTAGCGTGTGTGATCACACTACATCTTTAAATCTCTCTCAGTCTAAATAAGGGAACTCCTCACAGCAGCGCCACATACTGAAAAATGCTGCCATCACTAGGATGGAAAGAACAGCACCAAAATATATCAAAGACTTTACGGGTTCTTGTACTTGTTATAGGCTGTAGTTATTATATTGTTATAGACTGTTGTTCTTAGCTTAGAGTTATGCATTTGTTACACCTGTTATAGTATAACTATTAACTTAGTGCGTTGTATTGTTTTATAGACTGCAGTTGTTATGTTGTTATAGACTGCAGTTGTTGATGTATAGTGTATTGCATTTGTTACAGTGTAATTATTAGCTTATAATGTGCTGTATAATGTGTGTTTTTATCAGAATCTGATTTACTGGCCAAATATGCTGACAGACAGATGGAATCTGTTTCCAGCTGTTGGTGTCTCTCTAGTATTCAATGTAATAAACAGACAATGTACAATATACAACAGGCGGGTTATATAAGGACCAAACAATGTAGGCTTTATTTACAGACAACACACAACATACAAGCAAAGTACAGATTGTGTACAATATACAATATATATACAAAATACACTATACAATATAATATAATGTACAATATATCATTGTAAATGTAATAATATAAATTATGATGTAATAGAAATATTATAATAGTAACAATCATAATAATACACTGTATGCCAACTGTAGCTGTTAATATATAGTTTATGCATTTGTTATAGACTAATTATTCATTTATAGTGTGTTTTATTTTTATTATAAACTGTACACTGTAAAAAAAAATGTCTCGGCAGTTCAACCTAAAAAAATTATTTCATGTGGGAACATCACATTAGCATGTTATGGCATATTCGGTTTGATGTAATTTTCAAAGAAATAAAAAAGGCAAATCATTTTGCATGATGTCATCATTCACGTCACGTATATGTTGTTTAAAATGTTGGCAATGAAACTTATCAGCGTCCCTGATTGGTACGAATTGTACAATTTATTACAATTTGTTATGAACTGTCAGTTGTCAGTGTGTCATACACTGTCCTTATAAGAGCCTGTAGTTGTATTTGTACACTGTATTTGTTATAAACTGTTTTATTTTTATTGTACTGTATGTTACATTTATTACAAACAGTGCTTTTCAGCATACCATGTATTACATTTGTTATAACATTTAGCTGTCAGCATAACGTGTATTACGTTTGTTATAACATTTAGCTGTCAGCATACCGTGTATTACATTTGTTATAACATTTAGCTGTCAGCATACTGTGTGTTACATTTGTTATAAACTGTATTTTTTCAACTTATTGTGTATAACATTTGTATAGACTGTAGTTGTTATAGCATACTGTGTATTGCATGTTATAAACAGTAGTTTTTAGCATAGTGTGTTACTTTTTTTATAAACCGTAGTTGTTAACCTACTGTTTATTACATTTTTATGAACTGTAGTTGTTAACCTACTGTTTATTACATTTTTATGAACTGTAGTTGTTAATATACTGTGTATTAAATTTATTATAAACAATAGTTGTTAGCATACTGTGTATTACATTTGTTATGAACTGTAGTTGTCGGCATACTGTGTACTACATTTGTTATAAGCTATACTTTTTAGCTTACTCTGTATTACATTTGTTATAAACAATAGTTGTATTACGTTTGTCGTCACAGTTATACTGTTCTACACACTTAAAAAAGATGGTTCTTCAGGGTTTTTCAGTAAGGAAAATGGTTCTAGAACCATGAACACTCAAAGACCCCTTTGCATGATCAGAGGGTTCTTTGCATCGTGAAAGGCTCCTTCAGACTGAATCAGAATGCGCTATAGAAGAAGAAGAACCCTTAAAGAACCACCATTTTTAAGTGTTTAGTGCTGGTCTAGCTGGGCACCCAGCATGGTCATGCTGGTTGACCAGCACACCAGCATCCAATACCCAGGCATGTTAACTTCCATTGTTACTGACCAGCATACCAGCGTCCGTCGCTGACCAGCATAGAAGTGTCCAAAACCCAACGTATGCTAGTTTTGCTGGTTGCCAGGCGTGTTATTTTCCATTGTTGCTGACCAACATACCAGGTGTCCAAAACCCAACATATGCTGGTTTTGCTGGTGGCCAGGCATGTTACTGTCCATGGTGGCTGACCAGCATACCAGTGTCCGTCGCTGACCAGCATACCAGCGTCCAAAACCCAACATATGCTGGTTTTGCTGGTGGCCAGGCATTCTAGTCTATGCTAATTGTGGCAGTAAGTTGGAAATGAGAAATTTTCTCTGGAAGGTTTCTCCTGCTGCTCCGTGATTCAGGGATCATAACACACAGGAAGTGGCTTTTCCGGACACGGCCTGTATTCTTGCTCATATGTAATTTAATTCCAATTGCAGATGATTGCGGTGGATTCATCTGACTAAAAGCATTTCATGCACCAGGTAGCGTTATGAAAGGTGATGTTTTAGAACGAGGGTTTCAGAGCTCTGCATACAGTCTTCAGCTTCTTACTCCAAAGGAAAGTATTCCTCTCTCACTCAGACTCTCTCTCCCTCTTTTCCTCTCAGCCCTTCTTTCCATCTCCCCATTCACGCCTGGGTCTCTTATTTCTATGCTCATTGTCCATTTTATCAGCTCCACTTACTGTATAGGTGCACTTTGTAGTTCTACAGTTACAGACTGTAGTCCATCTGTTTCTCTGATACTTTGTTAGCCCCCTTTTACCCTGTTCTTCAGTGGTCAGGACCCCCATGGACCCTCACAGAGCAGGTACTATTTGGGTGGCGGATCATTCTCAGCACTGCAGTAACACTGACGTGGTGGTGTGTTAGTGTGTGTTGTGCTGGTCTGAGTGGATCAGACACAGCAGTGCTGCTGGAGTTTTTAAACACCTCAGTGTCACTGCTGGACTGAGAATAGTCCATCAACCACAAATATCCAGTCAACAGCGTCCTGTGGGCAGCGTCCTGTGACCACTGATGAAGGACTAGAGGATGACCAACACAAACAGAGCAGCAGCAGATGAGCTATCGTCTCTGAGTTTACATCTAATAGAGTGGACAGTGAGTGGACACAGTGTTTAAAAACTCCAGCAGCACTGCTGTGTCTGATCCACTCGTACCAGCACAACACACACTTACACACCACCCCCACGTCAGTGTTACTGCAGTGCTGAGAATGATCCACCACCCAAATAGTACCTGCTCTGTGAGGGTCCATGGGGGCTCCTGACCACTGAAGAACAGGGTAAAAGGGGGCTAACAAAGTATCAGAGAAACAGATGGACTACAGTCTGTAACTGTAGAACTACAAAGTGCACCTATACAGTAAGTGGAGCTGATAAAATGGACAATGAGCATAGAAACAAGTGGTCAGAATGTTATGGCTGATTGGTGTAAGTGTGTAAAAACTGACAGTAATGTACATCACGTATGGGAATGAAAGTGTGGTGTACAGTGGATTGGATGGTGCGGATGATGTGGGTGTGATAACTATCTGGAGAAAACAGGAGAAGCTGTGGTCCAGCAGAAGATTTTACTGGTCAGCTGTTTATGAGAGTGTCGGCCTGAGGAAAGAAACGGAACTACTCAAAGTTCCTCAGAGCAGCACCTCATAGTGAATAATGCTGCCACCAATAGGACGAGAAGGACAACACCGAAAGCTCTCAGAGAACCGTGAGCTTCCTGCAGCTTCTTTGGACCACAGCTGTAAAATATGGTGTATTTGTTATAGACTGTGGTTGTTAACACAGCACACTGCAGTTAGACGCTGGTTAAATGTTAGTCTACAGTATATTGTGTTTCTCATAGACTGTAGATATTAGTGTACAGTATTTTGTATTTGTTATACACTAAATATTATCATACAGTTTATTGTATTTGTTATAGACTGTAAATATTATAGTATGGAAATGTTTTTGGCTTAGACGTATATTATCATACAGTGTTTTGCATTTGTTATAGACTTTAGACAATATCATACAGTATATTGTATTCATAGACTGTAGATATAAGCATATAGCATATTCCATTTGTTATGGACTGTAAATATTAGCATACAGTATTTTGTATTTGTTCTAAATTGTAAATATTATCACATATTATATTGTATTTGTTTTAGACTGTAAATATTAGCATACAGTTTATTGTATTTGTTATCTACTGTAAATATTAGCATATAGTTTATTGCATTTGTTATAGATTGTAGATATTAGCATACAGCATATTCTGTTTGTTATGGACTATACATATTAACATACAGTATTTTGTATTAGTTATAAAGTGTAAATATTATCATATATTATATTGTACTTGTTATCTACTGTAAATATTAGAATTCAGTATTTTGTATTGTATATTGTAGATATTAGCATTTAGTATATTGTATTTGTTACAGACTGCTGACATTAGCATACAGCATATCATATTTTAATAGACAGTAGATTTTAGCGTACAGTTTACTGGATTTGTTATAGACTAGATATTAATGTATAGTTTACTGTATTTGTTTTAGACTGTAGATATTAGCGTACAGTTTACTGTATTGGTTATAGACTGTAGATATTGCTGTTCAGTGCTATGCATTTGTTATAAACTGTAAAAATTAGGACAAGCGTACTGCATTTATTATAGACTGTGGAAAAACTGTG